CATTCAGACATTGAACTACTGTATATCAACTATTAACATGGTTCACTAAATCCAAGATTTGCTAGTAAGAGCCAAAAAATGACAATGATGGATGGGATAGGAGAAAAAAGGGCAATCTGGTTCTTATGCAGGATGACAAAGTGGCAGATCTTATTTTCCTGTTCCATAGCAGGATAATGTCAACTGATGAGAAAGGTAAATAATTCTTCAAGCAATTTAGAATTAAAATGTTACTGGGCTGGTCAGTTGGTTAGCTTAGCTGGTTAGGGCACAGCCTTATAACACCAAGGACACAGGTTCAGATCCCCGTACCAGCCAGCCACCAAAAATAAATAAATAAATATGTATCATTAAAAAAAAATTGTTACTGAACAAAACTATTTAAAACTCTAGATTTTTGTTTCTGGAAGAGAAAGTTACTTACCTCTGCCTCTGCTATCAACTGTATCTTCTTTGCTATCAAGAATTTTATGTCAATTTGACCTAAGGGAAGGAAAAAAAAGTGACTTTAAGTTGATGAATATAGCTACCTAGCGGCACTATTTAAATCATGAAATTGAAAACCAAACAAATACAAAGATGACTATACAAACTATGCTATAACCACAAAACATTTGCCACAGCTCTTAAAAATGAAGCATGGGCAATATAAATAGAAGGAAATTTATACACAAAAATACTAAGTAGAAAAAAACACTACTAAATGTACACACAGTAATTACAGCTATTTAAATCATATGTTGTTGTAGATCCAATTCTGGCAGTATGGAAAATTAGATTCTTTGAATAGATCCTGCAATGGAGACTACTAAGATGCTGGGTAAAACATTAAAAACTAAACAACTTTAAAACTTATTGCCAACTTAGTACAAATCCACAGGCAAAAAAGAAAAATGAAACTAGAACCCTAGGGGATATGTGAGAAACACCAGGATTCTTGCCAAACTCTAGAAACCTTGAGCTTCTACACTGGCAGCAATACACAGTACAGTGTTTTTACAGGACAAAACAGAGTACAGTACTTTACAGAATGGTAAAGTCTAGGGCCTGCCCAAAATGAGAGGTCTAACAGAACACTACCACATAAAGCTAGAGACAATCTAAACTTGCACTGTGTGGTCTGAAAAACCTGAATTTATTTTAAAACAAAACTAAGTTGTGTCCCCAGGATACTGGCAAATGCAAATGTAGTTGCTTCCAGGAAGATTAGAATATCAACTAGGGCCTTAAAGAATTCCAGTAAAGTTCCAAGAAAAAGAAGAAGCTCATAGTCAAAGATCACAAAACACACCAGGAGAAACAGCAGAAACAAAAACCAAGGGGCTCAGATCTGAAAAACTAAAGATATTAGAATTGTCAGTTACAGGATAGGATATAAAATAAGAATGTTTAATATTTTAAGGGAAATAAAAGTGAAACTTGAAAACATAAACAAGAAACTAACCAAGCAGATCTGAAAAAGAACAAACTAGATTTCTCAAAATGAAAGTAAAAACAGTTGAAATTTCAAATTCGATGGATAGATTAAACAGCAGATTAAACATGTCTGAAGAGAGTACTAGTAAATGGGAACATAGATCAAA